AGGCCTATGGGCCAGGAGGCGGCCTCTGCACCGCCCCGAGGTCATGGCAGCCGGCCCTCCCAGGGGCGGCGGGGAAGGAGGAGCGGAGAGGGGACAGGAGGGAAGTGAACGCGCGAACTTGTTAGAAAGACACATCTAAGCCACAGTGTCGCTTGGTGGGAACTGTCTCTGCTAAAACCCCGCGGGTTTGGAAAGCGCCTCGCGCGTCCTCAGTGCGTCAGTGCTGTGGACCCCTCGCTGGTCTTTGAAATAGTGGCCTCATTGCGCTGCGGTGGGCAGACCAGGAGGCTCCGTGGCTCGGTCTATCCACGTGGTTGTGTTACTGTGACTGACCATTTCAATCCGGGACCACGGGCAGCAGGGTGAGCGCGTGCCCTGGCAGCAGGCAGAGCCCTCAGCCGACCCGGTGGCACCGGGTGGGGTGGAGGGGGGTGTGGGAGGCCCCCGGGTACAGAGCTCGGGGTTCATGGGCTCTGGGCCCGGACTCCACGCCTGTCCCTTCAGCCCTGCCCTCCCGCTCAGCCACCTGTGCACCTGCGGGCGACTGGCCACCTGGCGGCTGACAATGTCCTGAGATGGAACCAGAGGCCCGATGACCGAGGGTCCAGGAGCCGTGAGGCCCCACAGGCGAGCAGGGTGCACCTCGACCCCCTGCCTCTCCCTTTGCTCTCGTCTAACCAGCTCCCTGTGCCAACGCGCTAGGTCAGGTCCCCAATGGCAGTCACCCCCATGCCCTGGCTGCACCCCCATTTCTGAACTATCCGTGGGGACATTGCGTGAACGCAGCTCCTACGACAGGGCCTTCTGTGACCGGCTCCTCTCACTGAGCGAGGGTCCCAGGTCCGCCCACCCATTTCCGAGCTTCACTCCTTCTTTGTTGGTGAATAATATTCCCTCGTGTGAACAGAGCACTGTTATTCCTCCTCCACTCCCCGTCGGACGGGGGCTTCGGCTCCCTGGCCGGTAGGAATGACGCCGCCGGGACATCCATGTTATCCTGGGGACATATGTTGTCATTTCTCCTGGGTCTCCGCCTGCGAGTGGAACCGCTGGGCCACAGGGAACTCTATGTGTGACCGTGTGAAGAATCGGCAGCTGCTTTCGAAAGTCTGACTCCCCCAGCGCTGCCTGAAGGCCCCGCCTCCCCACGTCCGCCCACAGTTGTCGCTCGGGCTCTAGCACCCCCGTGGTGTGGGGTGGCGTCTCGCTGTGGTTTTGACAGGCGCCTCCCCCGTGGCTAATGCTCTGGCTGATGCGCACAGGAGGAGAGTGGGCCCGATGAGGACGGGCGTGCACGGGGACGGCCAAGTGAGGGCACAGGGAGCGGACAGCTGTCTACTGTCTCCTGGACGCAGCGCCCGGTCACCACCAAGCAGCCTGTCATTCATCTGCTCTACACCCTACGTGGTCCCAGCCCCGCTCAGGGAGGCCACATGCGCTCAGGTGGGCTGGGAGGCGCTCCACCATCCGACCCTCCTCAACCTGACCCCTCTCGCTCCTCCCATCCGACTCCTCCTGGCCCCTCCTCAGCCTCCCCCGACTGCCGGGCCCCCCTGCGCAGCCGCCTTGCAGTCTCTCAAGTGCCCGGGACCTGTGCACGCGCCGGGCCTGCAGCTGGAAGGCGCCATGGACTTCTGCTCGGGTCCGCCCTCCCCGCGTCCTCTTCCAGGCCTCCCTTTCCCACCAGGTCCGTTTGACGCTGCAGGGTCCCGGGCCTCTCTCACCTTTGGAACACGTTTGCAGCTGACCACCTGCTCGCACCGCTGTAGTCGCCTCCTTAAGGTGGTTACGATTCCTCGCCTGCCTCCCCTGGGCTGCGGGCTGGGTGAGGAGAGGCGGCTGCTTTCTCACGATGCAGCTCCGTGCGGATGGAGGCTGCTCCGCC